GCCTGCTGGGCACGGCTGTACCCAAACCCCTTGCAAAGAGGAGGCGAGAGACGCGAGGGAGCTACCTGCAGAGCTCAGTGCGTGCCTGCAGCATCGCAGCCTGGGCCTTAAAGTGCTTTACAAAAGCAGCCGTTGCTGCCCCTGCTCTCACGCTGCTGGGGCAGGGAGGAGGAAGGAAGGAAACACAGACGTTAACAGCGCTGCCCCGCATCGCCTGAGGCGAGTAGATGGGCTCAGCTCCCAGAGATCCCGCTACTCACCGTCCCCCAGGGAATCAGGAAAAGCCCTCGGCAGGGCAAGGGGGCTCTCAGTTTGCTGAGGATGCAGTGCTGGTAAGGGAAGACCCGTCCCTCCTCGCTAAACCCTGCTCGAGGGATGGGAGCAGAGCAGCTCCAGCCCTTTCCACGTGGCCTGCGTCTGTTGAGCCCTCTGCTAGGGGACTGGACAGTGCAAGGGGGCCTGTCCGGCTTTGCAAGCTCCTTGTAGCAGCACAGGGGAGCTCACAGCCCTGCAAAACACTCATTAAAAAAAAAAAAACAAACAGACAGTATTGCTAAAGCAGAACTGGAGGGAGCCAGGTCTCTTGGATAAACTGTGAAAGGGTGCTTCTCCAAGCAGTGACACACTGGGCTGCAGGGACAGCTCAGCAGCCAGGCCTCCGGCACTCGAGGCACCAGGCATCAGCTGCACTGCAATAACCCACCATGAGCATGTCTCCTCCCCGGGCAGACACAACGAAGGGTTTCAGTACCGTTTTTTAGTTGTGTCACTGCAGGTCAGCACGCGCATGGGGTTAAACACCTCCACATAGCTGCTGCACAGAGCCTGACCACAAAGCAAAGGCGCTTAGATAGCCCACAGCCCCACCAAAGAGCTCCAGCAATTTCAGAGGTGGGACTGGATCCTTTGAGAGGCCATTCTCATACCAATGGGCCCTAGAGAGAATTGCTTTCTGGGCTGGGAGGTAGCCCATCCGTCTGCTTCCCAGGGCACAGAAAACAGCCCATGCACCCCCCTCTCCTGCTTGAATCACGTGCTAGTGGGATAGCTTCAGCAGGCACAGGAGATATCCAGAATGAACAGATCACCAAGGACACAGACATCTCCCCCATCCCGGGCCAAACCAAGGGCCTTCCCCCCCACCGCTCTGGCCGGGCAGAGCCTCGTCCGTCAGGGCAGCTCGCATAAGCAAACACTGCTCGAGGACTACAGAGGAGCTGTTCGCCTCCAGGCTGCCTGCCCCGTTTCCCCTGCCTGCAGCACCTTTCACAGAGGGATTCCCAGCCTCGACCCCCAGCGAGCGACTCCCAGGCACCCTGCTGCATCCGCAGGGCTCCGGCACCCTGTGCCTCCAGGCTCCTGCAGGGACCCGCCACCCGGTGAGGCAGCAGCAGCAGCAACCCTGGCTGAGCAGGGCCCGGGAGCGCCGGTGGCACTAGAAA